ATCTTTGCCAGTGGCAGATGGTCGTGACCGGCGCAAAGTCTTGAAGATGACTCGAAGCTTGCGTCGCGCAAGTATGCTCGCATCATCCAGAAGCTTGGCTTCAACGCCAAGTTCACCGACTTCAAGATCCAGAACATCGTCGGTTCTTGTGACATCAAGTTCCCGATCCGTCTCGAGGGTCTCGCTTCGAAGCATCACAACTTCAGCTCCTACGAGCCTGAACTCTTCCCTGGTCTCATCTACCGCATGATCAAGCCGAAAATTGTACTCCTCATTTTTGTGAGTGGCAAGATCGTTCTCACCGGCGCGAAGGTGCGCGAGGAGATTTACCAGGCCTTTGAGATGATTTACCCCGTGCTGCAAGGTAGGTTGTCATATTTCACACGAGTTTGGGTTATTTTGGTGCTGACAGACATGGCTAGATTTCCGCAAGGTTTAAACCTGCGAAACAACTTGGTCGGCATGAGGGCAAATCCTGCCCGCAAATTTCGTTTTCCGGCCGCACCACGGTTATCTCGCTGCCTGTCAACGAGTTGTACACCACAAACGACCACCATCGACCATGATTTCATGACAAAAATCATACCAAAAAACTCGGCTGTCTACGCGAAAGCCCAATCAGGGTTGACGCGCCAGTCATTTGTATTAAATTTTCGCGACCGGGTTTTTTTTTTCCCCGGCATCACAGCATTGCATCGGCGTTCACGGAACGGGGCGGACCATTAAAGCAGGGTTTTACGCGCTTTTCGTCATGACCGCGGATCCCCCGAGTATTTTGGAGCTGGCGCGCTCCCTCGCGGGGTACATTACCCATAGAAAGATTGCGCACGACGGGCAGGCGTTGCAACCTGACTGTCCCCTAATGAGTTTGCGGCGACACCATTCGGGGTCCCGCAGCCAAAAAGAAAGGTTTCTGAAGAAGGAACGGAAAAGCAAAGAGATGGGTTTTCTCCAGATGCTCATTTGACGAGCAACAGTCCCAGTCACGGCTGCTCACATTTGCCTGGGCTGATGGGGAGATGATCGCACAATTTCAGTTTACCTGAAGCTCGTCATCGGCACCAAGTAGTGGCAGCAGGTGGTTTGGCATGGAGAGTATTGTCTGGATTAAAAACAACCCAAGCAGAGGCAACTGCCATGGAGGGGGAAGGCTTTCGCAATCCCCCGGCAGAAACGGATGATGGCGGAGGCCTTAACTGCTCTATCGCACAGTTTCGTTCCTTCATTGCTGCTACGCTTGGCTTTGCGCCGAGGCACGGCGGCGGGTTGAAACTCGTGGCGTTCTTCAGTCGTGGTTTTTGCTGCCATCGAATACCATCATCTAGTTGATTAAAACTTGACCTGCGTTATGGGAACTGTGATGCGTTGGCTTACCTGATGTTCCGTGTCTCCCGTCGCCCATCTTCCCGTAAACTCAAACCGAAGGCACCACTCTCTCCACCTCCCCCAATGCCTCCGCCAAAACCAACCCCGGCGTACCACCCCTCGTCCCATCCTCCGTAAACGCAGCCACCGCAGCCCCAGACTTGGGCACGATGACCTTCCAATCCCACTTCCCGCGAAACTGCAAGGGGGGTTCCCGTACGATGCAGTCGACGACCTTGTCGCCGATGACGGGCAGGAACTTGAAGGCGTGCCCGCTGTCGCCCGTCGCCACGAACAGGCCGTGCCAGTGTGGGTGGTAGTCGACGAGGAAATCGGCGTCGGCCGTGTCCGCGTACCAGCACAGGCGCGTCTTGGTGAACGGCCGGTCGTGCAGCGCCGGCCAGGGGATCATCTCGCGGAGGGCGCGACGGAGATCGGCTGCTGCGGCGGCGGGGATGGTGAGGTCTGGGTCGGTGAGGCCTGTTCGGGGGAGGAAGATCGGGGTTGGTGTTTGGGTGGTGAGAGACGGGGAGAACGGGAGGGGTGGGTTGGCGGGTGTGACTGGGTTGAGATAGCCGTAGGCGTGCTGGGCAATCTTGAGGACGCGGTCGGTGGGTGGGATGATGAAGAGGCCGGTGGAGATGTTGAGGATGACGGGCATGTTGGCTAGTTTCTCTTGTTCGGCTTCGGTGATGTCCATGTAGCCGAGTACCTGGCCGGTGGCGACTGTCTGCCCGGCCAAGTCAACTAGGCTGCCGGTCCATGCGCCCGCGGCCACGACAACAAGATCGGCGGACAAAACGCGGCCGTCGGAGAGCTTGGCGCCGGTGACCGTGTCTTCAGCCCTTTCCAGGGAAATAACGGTCCCAGCAACAAAGTTCACACGACCGGTCTTTTGAACCTGGTCAAATAACCACGCCATGGAGGCTGTCGCGTTCGCCCAGCCGCTGTTGTTGTTGATGTAACCCCATGACCCGGAGCTGCCACCCGTTCCCAGCGCCTCGCGGATGGCGTCGGGGTTGGGGAGCTCCCGAACTCGGGCGGCAAGAGCTGGGTTTTTAGACGCTAGAGACAGGACGTTGGCCCAGCTCTTACGAGCATAGTCCATGCCCGTAAGCTTGGGTTTCAGGCCCCCGCTCGACGGGGCGGCTCCAGGCGCAGGCGGCGAAGCGTCGCCAACCCAGGAGCAGCCCAGCCTCATGGTAGCGCCCTTGGGCTCCCAAGTCGGCGGGTGTGTCTTGTTTGCGCCATTGCGCCTGGGCCTCGTCACCCAACGCCGTGTACGCTGGATCAGCATAGTCGGCCCTAATAATTCGGCTGGTGTCGATGCTGGCGGCGTCTGGCGAAGGAAACGCCCCAGGCTGAGAAGGGTCTGACCTGTCGACGACGGTTATCGAGCTCTGGGAGAAGGCATCGCGACGGGCGAGGGCCAGGGCAGTGCTGAGCCCAAAGACGCCAGAGCCGATGATAAGAATTGAAGATGGAGGTGAGAAAGGTTGCGAGGAGGGAAGGGAGGAAGAAGACGCAGCAGCCATTTGAGAAACGGAACGGCAATTTGACTTCCGTAATTAAACAAGGTTTCAGACGCGAAGCGGCAAAGGCCGATCCAACTGGCTCAGGCCAAGGGCTTGTCTGGGTCACTGGCCGTAACAAATGGCCTGTGTGTATGAATGAGAATGTATGCCTTGTGCTCACTTGTGCGACTGCGTGTTCGTTCTGTTTCCCAACTCTGGTGGTCGGCTGCAGTTCAAGCGCTGACTCACGTTCGATGGTAGGAAACATGCCCGGTTCCCAACGGGAGTTCTGGGCATTTAAATAGGGAGGTTGAACATTGTGGGGAACCCATCGGCTTCGAGGGAGAGGAACCATAGGAAACATCACAGGGCTCGGCTTCTGGAAACACTGAAACCGAAGGCGGGGAAGGCTCGAAGGCTCGATGGCTCCAGTGTTGGGTGGGGGATGGTCAACGGAAACCTAATGAAAAGCACGAAATGGAGCCATGGGCAGATCAGTCGCGCTGCTCAACAAAGGGAATATCGGAATGTCACGCTGGTTGTATGGGCTTCCTCGGCAAACGCTAATTTGTCCGATGCAGACTCCAGCGGCCATGATGAGAGAAGATGGAAGTTCCAAGGAGAAAAATGGGACCAAATCCCCAGCATGAAAGGGCGCGCTCTTCTTTTGAGGCGCTGTCCGGAGTCCGGTGATGAACAAAGCCCCCCACCAGCCATGCGTGACACAGATCGTCAACTGAGTGGGCCGCCAGAAGTTCGCGGCACGGATTTCGGCCGATCGACAGCTGGCAGCACTGGCAAGTCGTGTTCCCGAAAGAGCGCTCTCTCCATCATTCGAGGCAGATGTATTTGTATGGGGAGTCGAGGGCGTGCACCAAGCTTTTTGAAATAGCCTCAAGCCTACGGCGAGTTGAGCAGTGAATGGAAATCATGAGTGCCTAGGTACCTAGGAACGTACCTAGTGTAATATCTCTCCAAGAACTTGAGCATGGCCGTCAGGGGAGTTACCTGACCTTGGAATGCTGTGTTGTGCACAGACCAATTTACCATCCAGGCCTGGATCCTCACTCAACACCGCGAACGTGCAGCATGGGCAAACGAGCCGCCCGCTGAAGTCACCACATCCCAACATGCGTAGCCGACACATCCTCACTACCAACCATGTCGTCGAACAAGAAGATTGCCGAATTTCCTGACGTCGAAGCGAAGCTGCAAAAACCGAGCAAACAATCGGCATTCGAAAAGCAAAAAGCCGAAGCCGAAGCGAAGCGTCAAAGAGAACTCGCGGAGACCGCTGCCGTCTATGAGGATTTCGTCAAGAGTTTTGCGCATGACGAGGAGGACGACTCCGCTCGCGGATCTAGGCATACTTCGTCGAGGTTCGGTCATGGCCCGCCCGAAAGGCCACAGTTTGGAGCCGGGTCACCTTTTGGAGGAGGCACCGGCAGGAGACACTTTGGCATCCCCTCCGGCGGTTCGCTAAAGAGCGGCCCGGGGAGTTTAGGACCACCGCCATCATCGTTTGCAAAAAAGAGACCGTACGAGGGTTTCCAGCGAGACACGGACGAGGGTCGCGGAAAGCTAGGGTTCGACGACAGGGACAAAGACTCGGCCACGGTGCCCGTCTCTAAGGCATTCGAAGCGAGTGACGACGAGGCAGACGGCGCAACTGGTGACCGGGCGGAGGAGAAGGCGACATCAAAGCCGACCTTACGCTTGGCAAACCTGCCACCCGGCACATCCCCTGCTGTCATCAAGTCACTCATTCCGGCCAACTTGACAGTCGAGAACGTCAAGATCGTGCCCCCTTCAGGCCCTACCGGTACCGAACGCAAATCGATTGCGGCCATCGTCACCCTGTCTAAAGAGACACCAGCGACAGAGATTGATAATGCTGTGAGCGCTTTGCAGAACCGCTACCTTGGCTTTGGCTTCTTCCTCACCCTGCACCGACATCTTTCCTCTGCCGCCATCTCGTCTGGGCTGGCCGCTCTGCCTTCATCGGCGACAGTCTCGTACCCGTTTGGCGCGAGGAAGGTTGAGGAGGGTCCAATCAGGCCCGCTCACCAACCGATGGGCCACGGCCGGGCATATGCACCACCGTCGTCTTATGGCCCTCCCGCAGGTGGTCCGCTCAATCGGTCCGGAATTCTTCATGTTCCGGTCCGGGCTCCGCGAGACATCAAACAGCTCCGCATGATCCACAAGGTTGTAGAGTCCGTCTTAGAGCACGGCCCAGAGTTTGAAGCTCTTCTCATGTCCCGACCGGACGTCCAGCGAGATGAAAAGTGGGCTTGGGTATGGGATGCCCGCAGCGAGGGTGGAATATGGTACCGCTGGCGGCTGTGGGAGATTGTAACAGGTGCGCAATCCGCGAAGGGCAAGCTCGAGTACATTCCACTTTTCGAGGACAGTCATGCGTGGAAAAAGCCTGCACGGCGGTTGGCATACGAATACACGACAGACGTCGATGAATTCATCTCCGACTCGGACTACGACTCTTCAGAAGATGACGAGTTTGAGGACGAGCAGCCTCGGCAAGGCGATGGCGCAGATCAGGAGGACACCTTCTTGAATCCAATAGAGAAGACGAAACTCGCGCATCTCCTAAGCCGGCTTCCGATGACCCTATCTAAAATTCGAAAGGGAGATATTGCGAGAGTCGCAGCATTTGCCATCACCCACGCGAGCCGGCGGTGCCGACGAGATAGTCGACATGATCATTTCTAACATTGAGCATCCATTTCGCATACACATCGGGCAAATCCGAATTACAAGCAAGGGGCGAAGGAAAAGGAAGGTAGAGAAGACGACTCCGGCGACGCCTCGCCAGCGCCGGAGGACAAGGCCACATCTGACGCACTGACATGAGCGCAGCGCAGCTCCTAGGGCTCTACGTGATCAGCGATATACTGTCCTCTTCATCCACTAGCGGAATCCGCCATGCCTGGCGCTATCGACAACTGTTCGAGGCCGCACTCCGGAGCCGCAGGACATTCGAGATGCTGGGACTGATGGCAGACAGGCTGAACTGGGGCCGCTTGCGTGCCGACAAATGGAAGCGCAGTGTCGGGCTCGTCCTGAGCCTGTGGGAAGGTTGGTGCGTGTTTCCGGTCGAAACTCATGAAGCCTTTGTCAGCAGTTTTGAGAACCCGCCTGTCCTCAAAAAGCAGGCTGGCACACTCGAAATGGGGCACAAAACCGGGCGGTGGAAAACGGTCGAAGCCGCGCCCGCCGATGGGGGCAACGGCAGCGGCTTCCCTTCCGGTATCGATGAAGCCGGACCGTTGAACAAGGACTCGCCGGAGGATTACCCCCGAGAACATACTGTATATGGAGGACGGCGACTGAGAGTTGGACCCCGTTCGCCTGCAATACCTAGCAGACCTAGACGATGCCTTCTCAGACCTCGACCTCGACGGCGAGCCAGACGGCGGTTTCGAGGTGGGGGTCGTGGGCGGCGATGTGACAATGGAGGATTCGACGGAACCAGCAGAATCGACCCCGAGCAGACAGGAGGGCAAGACCATTGGCGGCTTCCAGATGTCAGGCACGAAGTCCGCGCCTGGGAGGAAGCGGATGCGTGCCATGGACATGTTTGCCGATTCCGACTCAGACGGGGGCACATAGAACGCGCCGCGGAGTCAAGATTTTAAATTGCCAAGAACTCCGCCCGCCAGGGCGCCCATCTTCCCGGATTGAGAAGCGACTGTTGAGGCAAAGACGTTGGCGTCGGCGATGTCACCCACCCCTCGGTCTCGAGGCCACGCCGAGTCCCTGCACAGTTCCCAGGGACTGGTCCGGCTGCAGGAATCCACGGGCCCGGGGCGGGGGATGCTACCTTGTCAGGGACTTTGGGAGTGGGAGTCGGCACTGTCGGCCTAGGAGTCGAGCAAGCACTCACCTCGCTCGGCTGGAAGCTGTTGACGTTCCAATGACACACCTAAATACATGGATTACACGGGGCATTGTAGGCCCCCCATCTTGAGAAGGTCCTGCCCAGCTCGTCTCCTAGCCTCTTCAAGCCCTTTATTCCCACGCTCCAGCCTTGTATAGACATCCCGGTCACCAAGATGCCCTCACTCTGGCCCTAGCTTTCGCCCTAGCTCAGCTGCAATGATGGAGTGGCGCATTTCTCGAGCGGGATGGAGTCCCTCCCGAATGTGACTGACATACAGGTACCGAATACTGCCCGATTCTGATTTGCTCAGCTCACATTGAGGAGAATTGTGATGGAAGCTCTCTTTTTGTGAAATGACATGAGAATTTGCTGCTGATTAAAACCCCCATCTCAGCCACGGTTCGAGTGCGGCCAACATCCCGCGCGGCAAGCATGGTATGAGTCCGGGAACTCGGTCGATTTTCTTGTAGCGGCCCCTTCTAACCAATAGAAACTTGCTCATTTTCTCCGGCTGCCAAAACGCGGTGCCCCACCTGCCCACTCCTGCATGCACTGAGCATTTGATCTCAGGACGAACCAGCGAAAGAGGCACCCTTGACCCTGGCCTTTGAAGCCATCCCATCGCATACCACACTCTCACTTGCGAGGCAGGTGCGAGGCTTGTTCACACGCACCCTTCTCTCAACCCCGCGGCGGCCGGGGAAGGAACACAAACAGGCTGCTGCTTCCGTCAGCACATCTATTGTGACCAAAGTCCAGGTCTGACCCACGGGCATCCAGAAACCCCCTTCTCCACCCGTGCCTCTCCCTGAAAAACTGAGAGCCAACATTGCTGCGGCACACCCATTCATCGCCATTGAGGCTTGCCTGACGATCCATTGCTTTCGGCCCAGCTTCTTCCACGGTAGTGAAACCTCGGTCAGGTCCGGCTGTCATTGACGGCTTCCGTGTTGCATCTTGCCTCTCAACCTCTGCCCCGTCCCGCAAAACACGGCTCCGGTCTGGAATGGCCGATCCGCGGCTACCTTCGCCTTCTCCTGCATGTTAGCCGGATGCTACTTGACTTCGGACGAGGGATTGAACCTCGACTCAGATTGAGCAAAACCTGCCGTCGCCCATCGGCACTCACGGGCACCTCCAATTCTCGTTCCCTACGACTTCCGGAACAGCCGGTTCGATCGAGCCGACGATCCCAGAGCTGCCGGCGTAGCTTGGAAGCGCCGGACTCTCTTCCCCTTGACGGTCGGCTCCCTGTCTGGCAAGTTTCTTCGCCCCGCGGCCAACAAGCTCCTGGTCTTGACCGTTACTGGCAAGGAAGGTCTTAGGGACTCTGTTTTGTAGCGCATCTCATCTCACGCGTGGTTTCATGAGCTTTGAAGTCCGCGCGGGGCCACATGCACGGTCTCCCCTGGAAACTTGCTCAACTTGCTCACTGATCCGGCCTCGGCCCGACAATCTCGAACGACGACACCGCCCGCGCAGCAACGGGGCCTGCGCTGATTCGCCTCAATCCAGCGCATCCAGCACGCTCACTGCTCTTCACGGTGGGAAGATCTGCGCAGTCAACGGTCTATCCCTGCTCCCAACGCGCTGCGCGCCGCGCGGTCCGGACACCGGGCCCTCCCCGGGTCACAAACCTCCGCCTCTCTCCTGACGGCCGTTCGTCACCAGCGGGTACGGAATTGAGGCGTTGCCTTTACGAA